GGTGAAAAATGAGTCAGAAAATGTACATCAAGGCCAGACAGTGATGGGTTAGGAATGTCAAAGTAAGCACTGGGCACAGGAGAGAAAGGCAAGTTTTCTGGGACAGTGACTCCCATATCTGGCTGTATACCAAATGACACCTGGGACGTCTAACAAGCAGATTCTCAGATGCCATGAGGACCAGGAAACTGTCATTTTTTTAAAGCTCCTGGGGTGATTATCATTATCAGTCAGATGTCAAGAGTGCACAAAGAATGCTTAGAAAAGTAACAGAAAGAAAGCGAGGAAGGAAGGAAGGAAGGAGGATTAATGGAAAAGCAGAACCGGAAGGTTATTTTTGGTGAAAAAGAAAAGGAAGGTAAGTATGCCATATGAAAATACACAAGAAAGGCCAAATGTTTGCAGAAAATGACATTCAATGTGAACGTTCTGAGGCTACTGATGGCTTAGGAAATTTGGTCCTAGAAATTCAGGAAAATTAACTTCATATTTAAACATATACTATTTGCAGAAACTTTTTTTTTTTTTTAAGATGGGGGTCTCACTGTCGCCCACGCTGGAGTGCAGTGGCGCAATCTCGGCTCACTACAGCCTCTGCCTCCCAGGCTCAAGCGATTGATTCTCCCACCTTAGTCTCCTGAGTAGCTGGGACCACAGGTAATTTTTGTATTTTGTCTTTTGGTAGAGACAGGGTTTTGCCATCTTGCCCAGACTGGTCTTGAACTCCTGACCTCAAGCGATCTGCGCACCTTGGCCTTCCAAAGTGCTGGGATTACAGGTGTGAGCTACCACACCCAGCCTGCAGATGCCTCTTTTAAGGTGGCTATGTACCGTCGGCCCTCCATATCTGTGGGTTCCATTTCCACACATTCAACCAAACCATGGATGAAAAATATTTGGGAAAAGTAAAACAATTAAAAATCACACAAACATTTAAAATGCAGTATAACAACTACTTACATGGCGTTTACATTGTACTACATATTATAAGTAATCTAGAGATTATTTAAAGTATACAGGATGAGTGTAGGTTATGTGCAAATACGATGCCATTTTTATTATTTATTTATTTATTTATTTATTTATTTATTTTTTGAGACAGAGTCTCACTCTGTCACCCAGGCTGCAGTGCAGTGACATGATCTTGGCTCACTGCAGCCTCCACCTCCCAGGTTCAGGCAATTCTCCTGCCTCAGCCTCCCAAATAGCTGGGATAACAGGTTAATGCCAACACAACTGGCTAATTTTTTGGTATTTCTAGTAGAGATGGGGTCTGACCATGTTGGCCAGGCTGGTCTTGAACTCCTGACCTCAAGTGATCTGCCTGCCTCGCCCTCCCAAAGTCCTAGGTTTGCAGGTGTGAACCACCACGCTCGGCCTATGCCATTTTATATAAACTTGAGCATCTGTGGATTTTGGTACCCATGGGGAGTCCTACAACCAATCTTCCATAGACTCTGGGTTGGGTATCTATGGGGAATTGGTTCCAGGACCAATTGTTATTAATTAACTTTGGGAGTATATATAACTCTCTCCCTAAATGAATGAAAAACAAATGACACATACAAAGCAATAGTGCTACAAACTTAAGAGGAACTCAATAATTATTTATCAAATAGTAAATGTTCAAAATTCCTTGAAGAAGGAAGTCTTTAAAAAGTTGAAAGGTATATTTCATCATTTTTTTATTTTAAAGAGAAAAGAGGAAAAAGTACCTCTGTTCTTTTCTTCCATCTTTCCTTCTTTCTTTCGTTTTAACTTCAGTACACACCTGAGGGTTGTTTATTTATTTTTAAGATGTCATAATTCTTACCTTGGCTGCCAAGGCTTTTAAACTGTCAAGGAATCTCTGCCAGAAATCCTTGAAGAGTGGGCGGTCGATTTTCTTCAGGCTCTCTTTGGTACTGGCATCCACACTGACATACAGCTGAGTAACTGGCTTGAGGTTCCTTAGTAATTTAAAAAAAAAAAGAAAGAAAAATTATTCCTCTATCAGGCTTTCCATGATATAAAACTTGCAATCTGTAATAGACGTGGGGATTAAACACTTCACTGGGTCTAGAGACTTCTACTTCCCCCAAAAGACTGAACTAATCATTTTAATCATGTGACAAAATGGGATGGCCTCTGGTTATTTTTTAAATCACTGGAAACCATCCCGAATACATTGAAAATATTGAATTACTTACAATTGGTCCTTCTTCAAATACTGTTTGAATGGAAAACAAACAAAATGTGATCTAACTTCAGGTCTGACAGCATCAGCCCAGCACAATTAGAGGGGTTCTCTGATCTGACTTCCCCACCCACACACTCTGCCAGCCACATGGGGTCTGTGCTGCTGGGCCACTTCCCTCCGTCAATTCACTGATGGAAGTCTTCTAAGGAACAAGAAGCAATCCCAAGAGTTCAGGCCTTATTCGAAGGACACAGAGTCACACCTATGCTTCTGTAAGTGGGAATGGGTTTCATGTCAAGCCTTGGGTGGGCAAACAAGGACCTATTTGGGGAACTTTAAGTAGTGCAGACCCAGGACAGTAGCAACCTCATACTTACACAGGAGCACAGCCCAGAAGAAGAGAAGAAAAAAATGCATTCTTATTTTCCTTGCCTTTACAATCAGTTTCCATGAATACCATTCATTCTACACTTCTCTCAAATTCACTGCATTTCATAATTTCTTTCCTACCTACTAGATTTCTAGTAGGTCCTTCTTCTAGTAGGTCTTTTTCCCCTGGCCCAATCCCCAGACAGGGTCTCATTCTCATCCAGGCTGGAGCAAAGTGGCGCAATCACAGCTCACCACAGTCTCAACCTCCCAGGCTCAAGTGACCCTCTTATCTCAGTGTCTCGAGTAGCTGGGACCACACGCATGCGCCACCACACCCAGCTAATTTTTTAAATTTTTTTTTGTAGAGACAGGGGTCCCACTAGGTTACCCAGGGTAGTCTGGAACTCCTGGGCTCAAGCGATGCACCCACCTCAGCCTCCCAGAGTGTTAGAATTAGAGGTGTGAGCCACTGCACCCGACCCTACTAGATTTCTTTCAAGTAATACATTAAACCTAGACTATACTTTTTCTTTCCTTTCTTTCTTTTTTTTTTTTTTTTTTTTTTTTTGTGAGATGGAGTCTCACTCTGTCATCCAGGCTAGAGTACAGTGGTGTAATCTCAGCTCACTGCAACCTCTGTCTCCCGAGTTCAAGTGATTCTCCTGCCTCAGCCTCCTAAGTAGCTGGGATTACACTCGCACCCTGCCACATCCGGCTAATTTTTGTATTTTTAGTAGAGACGGGGTTTCACTATGTTGGCCAGGCTGGTCTTGAACTCTTGACCTCAGGTGATCCACCCACCTTGGCCTCCCAAAGTGCTGGGATTAAAGGCGTGAGCTACTGTGCCCGGCCTAGACTGTACTTTTTCTAAAGCCTCTCCCCTTCTCTCTTCAAATGGGTCTCATAATTCATTCTCTTCAGTAAATTTAGAACTAGAAGAAAGAAATTCCCCCTTAATAATCTTCTGATCAAATTCTCCCAATATTCTTTTTCTATAAGGGTTCTACAATTTATTCCACATTTTTACCTAGAAGTTTTATACATTTTTTGTTTCAAAGTCCATGCATTTTTAAAAAATGAAAATATCATTCACATGCCATACAATTCACCACTTTAAAATGGTTTATGTGCTTTATATACGTATCAGTAGCAGCCTTATCAATCTTTGAGTGTAAGACCTTGAAGAGCAAGAATCCTGTTTTTCTTTTTATCCAGCCACACAGGCAGACATTAAAGCTACTTTTTAGGAGATATTGTTGATTTCAGCAGACAGAATTTTTAAGGGAATATAGGCCAAACAGATGCTTACAATGATGTGGCTTAGTGACATATAGAAAAATCACAAGTGTCTAGACTTCTATTTGCTTCTGTTAAAAGTGGAGAGGCTCTGACCAAATGTAGGACAGAGGTGATTAAGATCCTGGCAGGCTCTCATTGCTTTAATGCCTCTGCAATACCGACATACTAAGGGAATCCTTCAAAGTTCAGGTAATGTGTCACTACTGAGCAAAGCACATTAATTACTGAAAATGTAAAACAAACGCATCAGTAATAACAGCATTCTGTCTCATCACCCCTTTGCTGAGTGCCCCTTTAATAAAAGACAAGCTATGCTTCCTTAACTGGACTTTTATTAAAAAAAAAAAAAAAAAAAAAAAAAAAGGACTGTCTTAATGGCTACTGCTGGCTATCATCATCTGATACTGACAGGACTTTGTCAAAAGCTTCCTGATGCAAAATGAGAACTGCCCTGACCTTTTTACTATGCTTCCATAACTACTTAAGCTTATAAACAGTACATTCCAAAGGCCATACTCCTTTTACAAAACTCTATCATTTACAAAATAGGAAGCCCTGGACACTGACACTACCACTAAGGAATTCTAGTCAATACTAGATGTCTGAGATGCTACACTCAGGGAAGTCTCTAGATCTCTTGTCAAGGAGCAGAGGAAGAATGGAGAAGAGGAAAAGGTCCCCAGGAATTATAGAGCTCATTTCTAAGGGGCTCAAAATTAGCAAAGAGGCCTTTGGAGATATATATTTTCTGAGCTTTAGGGATCTTGTTTCTGCCTAGCACTGGTCTCTATTCACCTAGAAGAGACAATGAGGCTCCCAGTAGGGTCACTTATCTGTCTCTATTCTATACAGAGATAACAAATGTTCCCAAAAAGCAAAAGAGTCTTACATCATCAAAATCATCATAATAATAATTCCTGCATCTGAGAATCTCACAGCACTGCTGGGAGTAATTAAAAAGGATATCCTCTGCTCTCCCAAAAAGAGACAATATCGAAGATAGACAACCTTAAGCCCAGTCCTCTGTAAAAATGCTCAAGGATTCGTGATGTGAGTATTGTAAGAACCCTTTATCTTAATATTAAATCTCTGAGTGAAGAATTATCACATATAAAACTGTGCTGATGAACATAAAAATCTCCCTCCCATGTTGCCTTTCTGTAGAGATTATCAGGCCTCATTCTACCTTCCAATCATTCTACCTTCCAAGGCTCTGAGACTTGGAAGGTAGAATGAGGCCTGACAATATCTGCAGGAAAAAAAAAAAAAAAAAAAAAAGGAGAGAGATTATGTTTGTAAGAAATCCAAGTAAACAGTGACTCTGAAGCTCCTCCTTGGGATAAAAAAATAACCCGAGTGACCCAAACATGCAATGATATTAAAACCTAAATCTCTAAGACAATCTGGGGCTGTCAGATCAAGCCAAATAGCTCAGGAGGAAGAGAGGAGGAGGGTGAAGGAGAAGGAGAGAATGATTTAGCACTCACCAAGCTGGCACACTGTGCCGTGTGCTTTATCCTTCTTGATCAGTTCACTGAATCCTCACAATAAAACGACCACGTAGTCGCTACTTATGCCCACTTTAGAGACGATGAAGCTGAGGTTCAAGAGGTTAAGTAACGTGTGCAACAATCTATAAAGAATAAGCGTCAAGCCGGGTGCGGTGGCTCATGCCTGTAATCCCAATACTTTGGGAGGCTGAGGCAGGAGGATCACCTGAGGTCAGGAGTTTGAGACCAGCCTGGCCAACATGGTGAAACCCCATCTCTACTAAAAAATACAAAAATTAGCCAGGCATGGTGGCGGGCGCCTGTAATCCCAGCTACTCAGGAGGCTGAGGCACAAGAATCGCTTAAACCTAGGAGACAGAGGTTGCAGTGAGCCGAGATCACGCCACTATACTCCAGCCTGGGTAACAGAGCAGGACTCCATCTCAAAAAAAAAAAAAAAAAAGAAAGAAAGAAAAGAAAAACAGTAAGCATTAAGGAGATTCAAGTTCAGAGATGACTCCAGGGCCTTTCTCCTAACCCTGCCCATTATGGCAAAATCCACAGTGTGGCTCAGTGTTCAAGTCACAGCGGTTACATGTAACAAGCAGTATTCCGTAAATGAAAAATCCAAGAGAATATGGATGATCTGTGAAATGCAGATTATGACTGCAAAGTCCTAAGAGAAGCCAAAACAAGAAGTCCTTGAGAAGAAATTCTGAACTTAATTCCTTTCAGGGGCCTATGCACTTCACTCAACATTTGTCTATGAACTGGACACTGAGGCCAAGAGGCTCAGCCCTCAATATTTACATTCTGGAGGGAACAGAAGATGGATGCGAGTCCCATCACACAGCGCCATGACTAAGGTGGGGAAAATGCAGTGGGAATAAATGGAGGAGTGAGTTGATTTTGCTTGGCAAAATCATACAAAAGATGTAACAAGGTCAAAGTCAAAGCTGATCTCTGAAGGACACAGAGTTCATCAGGAAGAGAATGAGATCATTTCCAGGGATGTCCAAAGAAGAAATGCAAAGGCCTGCAGCTGTGAGTTGCCGCAGGATAAAGGAATCACAAACTATTCCCCGTGGCTCTAACATGGCAAATGGAATTGGGGGATGCCTGCAGCCACGTCTCATGTCCTGCCAGGGTTAGGTTTGGTTTACTGAAGTTTTATGTAGCCAGTGACACAATCAGATCAGTGCTGATGAAAGTCACGTGGCTCCAGTGTGATGGATGGATTAAAAAGCCAGCACAGCGCACCGTTCTGCATCTGGCTCCCCCGTGCCTCCCACTTATCCCCAATCCAACAACCTCTTAACCACAATTTAAAACTCCGAAAAGCTCTAATAACCAAAAGGTTGCTTTTCTAAGTTTGGAGACAAACTTAGTTGAAAGTGAAATCTGACTTACAAGGCTGTTTGTATTCTTCATTTTTCTTTTCTTTCTTTTTTTTAAAGACAGTCTTGCTCTGTCACCCAGGCTGGAGTACAGAGGCACGATCTCAGCTCACAACAACCTCCACCTCCTGAGTTCAAGCGATTCTCCTACCTCAGCCTCCTCAGTAGCTGGTTTTACAGGCACAGACCACCACACCTGCCTACTTTTTGTCTTTTTAGTGGAGACGGGGTTGTGCCATGTTGGCCAGGCTGGTCTTAAACTCCTGGCCTCAGGTGATCTGCCTGCATCGGCCTCCCAAAGTGCTGGGATTACAGGCATAAGCCATGGTGCCTGGGTAATTTTTCCATTTCTGTGACTAAGCATACTTTATTGTAGAACTAATTACATGTGTGTGGCGCTAGGGTGCTGGAGATGTTCCATAAAATACAGTGGATATACTGTATTGTCTTTCTAAAATTCTGAAACACTTTTGGGCACAAGGGATAAAAGATTGTGAACTTGTAGAAATCATTCCATATCAATACATAAAGAGTGCACTTTTTTTTTTTTTTTTTGAGACAGAGTCTCGCTCTGTCACCCAGGCTGGAGTGCAATGGCACAATCTCGGCCCACTGCAACCTCTGCCTCTCAGGTTCAAGTGATTCTCCTGCCTCAGCCTCCGAAGTAGCTGGGAATATAGGCACCCACCACCACGCCCAGCTAATTTTTTGTATTTTTAGTAGAAACAGCATTTTGCCATGTTAGCCAGGCTGGTCTTGAACCGACTTCAGGTTATCCGCCTGCCTTGGCCTCCCAAAGTGCTGGAATTACAGGCGTGAGCTACCGCGCCCAGACTTTTCTTTGATTTTCTAACAACTACAGATAAAGAACGCACTTTGTGATTTCTCTTTGATATTCTGGTTATTTAACAGTGTGTTGTTTAATTTCCACATATTTGCGAATTTCCCAAATTCTAGTTTGTGAAGTCCTTGGTCATTATTTGTCCAAATATTCTTTCTTCTCACTTCTCTCTCTCCTGTCCTTCTGGAATTCCCTTTATAAATGTGTTGGCATGCCTGAAGGTGCCCCATGGGTCTCTGAGAGACTTTAGTGATAGTCTATCTGATGAGTCATCATTTTCATACTTTTGTTTCTTTGAAAATGCTTTTCTGGCCAGGCGTGGTGGCTCACGCCTGTAATCCCACCACTTTGGGAGGCCGGGGGGGGTGGATCACTTGAGGTCAGGAGTTCAAGACCATCCTGGCCAACATGGTGAAACCCCGTCTCTTCTAAAAATATAAAAATTAGCCAGGCATGGTGCCCCATGCCTGTAATCCCAGCTACTTGGGAGGCTGAGACAGGAGAATTGCTTGAACCCAGGAGGCGGAGGTTGCAGTGAGCCAAGATTGCGCCATTGCTCTCTAGCCTGGGTGACAGAGCAAGACTCCACCTCGAAAAAAAAAAAAAAAAGAAAAAGAAAATGCTTTCCTGTAGTTCTTTGAACACACTTAAAATAGCCAATGTCAAATCTTTGTCTAGTAAGTCCAACATCTAGGCTTCTTGTAGACGGATTCTATTCTCTGTTTTCTTTCATGTGTATAGGCCACATTCTTGTTTCTTTGTATATCTTGTGGGTTTCTTTAAAGTAAACACTAGACATTTCCTTTTTATTTGTTTATTTTTTGAGACAAGGTCTCACTCTGTCCCCCAGGCTAGAGTGTAGTGGCACGATCATGGCTCACTGCAATCTTGAACTCCTGAGCTCAAGCAACCCTCCTGACTCAGCATCCTCAGTAGCTGGGACTACAGGCACGCACCAAAACATTTGGCTAATGTTTTAATTTTTGGTAGAGACAGGGTCTCACTATGTTGCCCAGGCCAGTCTCAAACTCCTGGCTTCAAACAATCCTCCCATCCCAGCCTCTCAAAGTGCTGAGATGACAGACATGAGCCACAGCGCCTGGCCATTATTTTGAATAACGTTAGTGGCAACTCTGGAAATCAGATACATCTCAACCCAGGTTTGTTTGGTTTGGTTGGTTACCTGGTTTTGGGCATATTGTTTTGTTTGTTTCTTGGTTTTCTCTTTTGCTGTTTGTTGTTGCTGAAATAATTTGGCAAATTCAATATTCATTGTTGTGTTTGGCCACTGAAGTCTCTGGTTAGCTTAGTGGTCAGCTTATGAATGGACAGAAATATCCTTAAATGCTTCCAACTGGTAAGCCTCCTAGCGTTTGTCGAGGGGCTCTGTAATTTTCCCTTCATCACCCAGGCAGGCAGTTTGCAACTCTGCCTTGGTTTTCGCTGCCTGCTTACTCAGGAAGAACCAAGGGCACAGGGCCTTCTCAATTCTTCTCCAGCATGCCTACAGCCCTGATCGTGTAAGTGGTATTGGAGATTCCCAGGAATATGATGGAGCTTTTCAAAGTCCTCTATGACATCTCATGGCCCAGCTTTTCCTTTTACATTTATTGGTGAGCTGCTTGTTTGCCCTAGCTGTTAATGCCACTTGAGGCAGCTTTGTGAAGTTAAACAATCGTCCGTAATGGTTTAGGAGAAACATCCAGACAAAGGCTTTTCGCACCAGACAAACTTGAATCACTTCAAGTAAAGACAACCCCTGTGAGAGAAAGTTTCCAGGTTTGCCATACAAGTCATATATAATGACAATTTCCTAGGAATGACACTTTGAAGGAGTTCCCACTCTGTTTTGCCCCCTCCCACAGCTGCCGGGCTACTGGTTTTTACTGTGGTTGTGAGCTACTGGTTTTCTTTTTTGTTTTCTTTTAAAATGGAGTCTTGCTCTATCCCCTAGGCTGCAGTGCAATGGTGTGATCTCGGCTCACTGCAACTTCTGCCTCCTGAGTTCAAGTGATTCTCCCGCCTCAGCCTCCCGAGTAGCTGGGCTTACAGGTGCCCGCCACCACACCCGGCTAAATTTTTGTATTTCAGTTGAGACAGGGTTTCACCACGTAGGTTAAGCTGGACTTGAACTCCTGACCTCAAATGATCCGCCTGCCTCAGCCTTCCAAAGTGCTGGGATTACAGGCCTGATCCACTGCACCCGGCCAAGCTACTGGTTTTCAAGGCTAGGGAAAGTGAGAATGGAATAGAACAAGTTAATATCACAAAGCTCATTTTTCTTACTGAAATGCAGCCATTTTTTTGTGAATATATGCTCCTTACATTGTTGCATACCTTTGGTTAATTTCCACAGGTAAGAAAAAGTCACTTGTGACCATTTTTGCCAGTATTCTCATTGTTTTCATGGAGAAACAGGATTTTTAAGGTCTGTGCTTTGCTATTTCTGCTGACATCCAACCCACATATTTTGTTTTCTTATCTATCAATCATTCATCAATATATTTTCTATTTCCACTGTACCTTCTTTTT